TATCTATAAACGTGTTATTTTTCCTTCTAAATAAAGAAAAAGTTAATTGGCAATATGAGAGATTTTTTTTATTCGAAAAGAACACAGAAGGAAACATGGAATTGCCCAGTAATTAATTACAATTGGCAGTTGATGTGACCACAGCATAACTTAATCTCAGACTAAATACAATTAAGGTGCACGTCGAATTGTTTAATTATACGCGATTCCAATTGGTTATAGGGGTGGGATTTTATACCCAGAACCGAACTGGACCGAACCGAAAATAACCGGCTCGGTCCGACTGTTCAAATAGAAAAAAACTTTTTTTTTTTTTTCAGTTTTCGGTTATTTTTTGCATGTTTTGGTTCTGGTTCTAGTTCCCTGTTCCTTTCTAAGTGTATTTGTATTAACCGAGGAGCCGACTTTATATGTGAAATATGCATGTTTTATATGTTTATATGTATGAATCGAATTTGGTTCTTGTATGAAATATTCAGTTCCTCATTTTTGCATTTTGGGTCTCGATTTTTCATGATATATTTAGTTTGTGAGTTGCATTTTTTGACCGGTTCTTAACTCAAAACCGGTTATTGTCGGTTATTTTTTATTTTTCGGTTACCCGAAGAACCGGAAAAATCAAACCGTTATAAACCGGTTCGGTTCTTTTTCGGTTGTTGCAATAATTTATGTGTTAACCAAACCAGTTTTTTTAGGTCGGTTCCGGTTCCTAGAAAATATAATAAGAACCGGACAGGTCTCAGGCCTAGTTGGTTCAAACAAAATCTCTCACCTCCAAACTTAAAACTTTTTCAAGTCAAAGAAATTTTCGGTCCTTCAAAATGATTCGACGCACAAAGGACTAACCCGTAGTCCAGTACAAATATGCAACCAATGAGTAGCATAAAAAGCTCTTTCACATACCAACTAAACAATATCTCACACAAAATGCTAGCTAGCACAGAACTCTTTTTACTCACTCAACAGCTCAATAAGCTCACCTTTTTTCAGCTTCGAGTATCCTTTCAACCCACGAGACTTGGCAAGGGCCCTCAACTCAGGCAGCTTCTTTCCACTCAAATTGTCTGCCTCAACCAAACTATCTTCTTCTCCCTCTTCATCTTCATGTTCATCTACATCTTCATCTTCATCTACATCTTCATCTTCATCTTCATCTTCATCTTCATCTTCATCTTCATCTTCATCTTCATCTTCATCTTCATCTTCATCTTCATCTTCATCTTCATCGTTAAGGCCTGATATTTCATCCAACTCACTAAGTTCCGGATAGAGAGCTTCCACATCAGACTCATCAGATAGAGCCTCGTCCTCCTCATCAGCTTCCAGCTCTAAATTAGTCATCTGACTTTCTTTCTCCAAGTTCTCATCCGAGATTGAATTAACAGAGCCATCTGAATAAACAGGCTGGAATTTGCTTTCGGGGACAGGAGACCTCTTCTGGAACCTCGACTTGGGCCGGCTATGATTTTTCCTTGGGCTATCTTGAATCTCATCATCCTTGGCGTGATCAGCGGGCTCGGGTTTTTTCTGATCAAGAATGAAATCCTGATCATTATCGTGAAAATGGGTTTTCTTCCCCTGCGGGACTGAGTGTTTCCTCAAAAGCTTGAGAAGCGAGTCGACTGTCTTGCTTTCTTTCTCTTTTCCTTGAGAAGTCTCGGTTTTTTTCCCTTCTTCTTTCAGTGCTGCCCGTTCTCGAATCTTGGCCTGCACCTTTTTGAATAGCTCGACAATTTCTCTTTCTCGGGCGCCTGGGGTGGCGGTGCCCCGGAAACTCTGGTTAGAGGTGGCAGGAGAGGCCCCGTTTTCTGAAGGGAGGGTAGTCACGAGCCCATCGAGTTGTTCTTCATAGTCATCTTCTCTGTCCTCCTTGGGCTTGTTATTCCTGTTGCGTGAAAAATTATGCTTTCTTGAATTAGTGTTTCGCCTATAGTTGTTGTTGGGACTCGCGTTGCAAGTGATGTGCCTGAACGAGCATTTCAAGGATAAGAGTTTTTTGTCTGAAATTATTTTGTAGCTGGTGTGGGCGGAGTTGGGTGATAGGCCAAGTGCTCTCCGTGAAAGTCCCGAGAAGGGAAGATATCG